AACTTTAATAAATTTATTTATCGACATAAACACCTTATACAATTACTTTTACAACAACTAAATAAATGAACTCCATATAATTGTTTTATTCTTATGCACATTAAACTTTTTTCTTGTTCTATTTGCACTTTCATTTGATGCAAAAATTTATTTTACTTATAAAAAAAGAGTCTAATGATAAAAAAATTATTTAAATTAAAATTTATAAAAAATTACTAATGGCATTTTAGTCAATCACGTTTAATATTCTTTAAATTAAAATTTTATTAAGGGTATTTTAGGTAATCATTTTTAGCACCTTTTTAGTCTAATTATAAAATAAAGTCTAATAATAAAAAAATTTATTTAAATTAAAATTTATAAAAACATTTACTAAGTATATTTTAGTCAATCACTTTTAATACTTTTAGAATTAAAATTTTAAATAGTTTAATTTTATATAAACTCTTTTCAATATTAATTGATTTAAATTAAACTTAAATAAATTAATAAATTAATAAATTATATAAACTCTATTTTTAATTTTAATTGATTTAAATTAAACTTATATAAATTAATAAAAGTTATATATTTAAAGATAAATTTGTTAATTTAAAAAATTATAAAAATATTTAGATCGATCACTATTAATACTTCACATGGATTTTTTTTTTATATAATTTTATTTATTGGCTTCTACTACTTCAAGAGACTTCGGCTGAAACATGAAAGGTTTGGTGCCCATTTGATTAGTTGAGCTTGTTTGGACTTAAGCAAATTCAATTTTAGACTTGGATGGAGGATGCTGGAAAAGAATTTAAGTGCTTCATTCTTCTCAAATTCAAGACTAACGAATTGAAGTTCTAAATTGTATTTGAGTTTATGAAAATTTAGATGAAAGATATTTCCTTTTCTATTGAAGTTTTTCTTTGCAATGATTTATCCGATATAAATATTATATAATTTCTTAAATATGAATTAAAATTAAAAAAAAAATTTCTTTGTTCTCAAATTTTAAGGGTTCTGTAATTCCAGGAAATAGGCACTTCAGGAGTCTTTGATGGTTTTTATGGGTTTCTTCAATTTTGACAGCTAGCTGGAAATGAAAACTTTACTACCCAGTTGTGTTCATTTTCTGGTTACGACGATTTAAGTTTAAAGTTGCACGACTTACACAAATTCAACTTCAACCTTCTAGAGAATGAAAATTCTTAATTGCTCATTCTTCTCACAACTAAGTGATTTGAAGTTCTAAATCATAAACGAATTGCAAAACTTAGCTGAACGACTTTTAAATTTTCTCTTGAAGATTTCTTTGTAATGGTTTATCCAACTATAGAAATGCAATATGATTTCTTTAAATAATATATATGAATTTGTTTTATTTTGGTTGCGTTTATAAGTATGTGCATGTTTGGAAGTTATCAGGCCATATCATCTGGTTCATGTATTTAATTGTTTTATGTCTAGAATGCTTTTAATTGGGTTGTCTCTTTTTGTTCCCATTTCCCAGTATCCGGACTTTCTGGAACCACAGAAACTGCTCAAAGTCAGGTCTCCATTGGAATGGGATTGCTTGCTGGGTCAACTGTGATGCTTCTCACGGTGATATGGGGAACGAGTGTTGTTGTTGGCAGGTGTGATCATCGTGATTCCGTTGCAGTAGATGGAACAATTACAAAAGGATTTAGCCTAACAGGTGCACACCTCTGCTCAACATTATTCTTAGCTAATTACTGCTATGAGGGGTTTAGAAGTTGTTTTACCATGCCTTATGCTGCGGCAACCTTCCCTTGGATTTAATAGTGAAAACTGCTACACGAGGAAAAGCTAGAGAATGGACAGATGCCCTTTTACTGTAGTCAGTCCCAGTAACCACTGTTACTTTTCTCTATTAGTATGTGTTATCATGTAAAGTGTGTTGATTTTTTTTCCTCTCCTTCGGTCAATGTCTGTTAGCAAATTATAGCTTGTCATGCTATATCTTCAGAACCTTAAATTATTAAGTGGGGAGTATGCTAGTATTTTAAGGTCTGAAGTTTCAATACTGGTCAAAGTAACTTCGGTTGCGCTGGAAAATTGAGGGTGAGTATAACCTTCATATCATTCGCCTAAGTACATGTGGTACTGGTAACTTTGTTTGAACTAGTATCTTGAGATGTGATTTTATTTTTAGGTGGATGCCTAATCCAAAAGCTTTTACTTTTCTTGTCTTTTTTTGTTTTTCTTTCTTAATTGTCCCTAAATCAAAAAGTTTGTCCAATAATTGCAGATGACTGGTGTCAGTATTGATATTGATGGAACTTGTTATGCTGCCAAGAATAATGGCTGTATCAGTTATCCCATTTATTATTGTTCAACTACCACAAGTTCTAAATTCAACTTCAGGAAGAAACTTAGCAGTTTTGATTGCTCTTATTGTATCAGTCTCAATGTTGGTTTCTTATTGCCTTTATCAGGTAATATTATCTTACAGAAAGACACTCTATCATCATATGTTCCAATAGGTTTTTTCCTTTTAATTTTTTTTTTTTTTTCATTTTCTTATGATACGTATATATTTTGCAGGTCATGCAGCCTTGGATCCAGAGAAGACGACTTGCTTTTGCAAAGCACAAACATTTCATATCAGGAATATTAAAACACTTGAAAAAGCATGCTTTGGGAAAGCTTCTCACTGATGATGGTGAACCCAATACAGAGATTATAAAAAAGTTAGTTTTAAAATTTGACATTTAAGAGAAACTTGCCTCTTCTGCTGGTACTTTGTGTCACATTTCATATACTCTAACATATACCGACTCTCAACATCGGACAGGTTATTTGAGACAATTGATGATAATCACGATGGTGGTCTTTCACATTCTGAACTGAAAGCATTTTTAATCGGAATCCGTTTTGAAGAAATAGACTTGGATAAGGAAGATGCTATGAGAAAAGTAATGGCAGATTTTGATACCTCTGGTGATTCTCTTGTTCAGCCGGACGAGTTTGTAAAAGGAATCACAAAGTGGATGAATGAGGCAAAGCAAACTGGGGGTGCTTATCTTGAACCTACGTTTAAGATTATTGACCAATTTTACCAGGTAAATTGAGCATGGATGAGTTCTCTAGAGATTATAACTTACACGACTGACTTCTTCGAATTATTTGGCAGCAAACCAAGAGAGAACATGATTTGTTGGGGCCGGCGGAACAAAGTGATGAGGTTGTTGAGCGTGTTGAAAAGCAGTACTAATGTTACTGCTGGGTACCATTATTGCAGCTGCATTTGCAGATCCATTGGTTGACGCTGTTGATAATTTTTCTGATGCGACAAGCATTCCATCTTTTTTCATCTCATTTATTGCATTGCCATTTGCTAACTCCAGTGAAGCTGTATCAGCCATTATCTTTGCTAGCAGGAAAAAGCAGAGGACTGCATCTTTAACATTTTCTCAGGTCTGTTTCTTGTTACTCCACTTATTTGTTGAGTTGATAATCGTTTGACTGATTATCAAGCTAGCATATGAATTCTCATCTCATTTATTGATGCAGCTTTATTGAGCCAGTAACCACGGGGAGAATAACGTCCTCTGCCTGTCGTTTTCCTGGCCTTATTTACATCCGGGATTGACTGGACTTCTCATCTGAAAGTGTTTGGTAGTTCTTATTGTTGCATTGTGTGGGTGCCTTTGCCAGCTTCCGCCACTTTCCCGCTTTGGCATGTTTGGTTGCTTATATCTTATCCATTTTTCCCTGGCGCTCTTTATGTTCTTGTTTACGTCCTTTGAGATTTCATAATGTGATTGACTAGTCTAGCAGGTAAACAATTTGTTCCTAGCTTCATGGGTTTCCCTATGTATAAACTACTGCTACTCTTTCAATTTGACATTGCATTTCAGAGAGACTATTCTGGATTATTGTTTTGTTAAACTTATGATGTATCTGTATTTTGGAGCAATGTTCCTCAGTTTACATGGAATGCTTGTCTAGAACAAATCAAACCAGATATCAGTTTCGTTCCTTAAATCAATCTGTTTCTAGAAAAATATCATCCCTTTGCATGTGTAAATGTAGTAATATTGTTATGTGTATGAACGAATCTGGCTTCTAAGAAAGCAAAATATGTAAAACAAGTTTTGAGGTGGAGATTAAAGAAGCAAAATTTGGGTAATGCAATTAAGGGTAGTTTTGATACTCTTAACAATGGGGAGAGACATTGCTATTGATGTCTGTTGACCGATAGAAGAGATGGGAAGTAGCAAAGCCATGTAATGTATAAATGCTAATTGCTACATAACCTTTCCTCCTAAAATGACTTGAATAGATCATCTCAAACTCAAATTTTTTTTAACATTCACAAGAAAGGATCATTGGATTCAAACTTTCAGGTATAGACTAAATTTGGGTCCAATTAATATCTGCCTTTTGTCCCCTAACATGGAGCAAAATTGCATCTTCGAAATGATTTTTTTTTTTTTGACAATTTTATCAGTGGTAGTCCATTTTTTTTTCTCTCTACAATTAATTCAGTGTGGACCCTCCCGACGTCACCTACCTGCAACTTATTTAATGAAGGGTCAGATTTGAGGGACCCATCTTACAAAGACAGGACGAAGTATAATCAGATCCACACAAAGCCCACATGCAAAAGTTTGTTACTAATAAAAGTGCATGACCCACTCACCAACCAAACTAACAAATGAGAAGGGGAAAAAAAAAATGGAAATTCCTCCAAAACCCTCAGTTTCTAAATCCATCAACACCAAAACTAACATTATCCCCGTAGCTTTCTCCTTGTCATTTGGCCAAAATTTAGGTTGGGATATAGAACTTATGTGCTTTAGAATTTTATTCTCTTATTAATGATATAAATAATTGGCTGTTATTTATATTTTAAAAATGATAGGTCAGTGTAAAAAAAAAAATTCCTTTTTATAAATTGATGATAATTTTTCATAACTTAATAATTCGTCAATTTTTATATGTAAATGATTTGTTTAAATGATTTTTAATGAGATGAGAATTCGATTCTTAGCATTTACAAATTTTTTTTCAATAATTTTTCTTAAGCTTTGATCTTTTATTCAAAAAAAAATTATTAAAGCATCGAGAAGAGAAATGATATATGCATTTTTTGTTGAGAGTACATGATTTTTTAACAAATGACTCAATAATTCAAAGTCTTAAGATTTGAATTTTTTTTTTCATACTCAATCATACATGGGGAAATTTTAAGATATGCGCAAGTAAAAAGAAAATGAGATTCTTGGTATGTTCTGCATAAAAGAAACTTACCCCTTAAAGATACAAAAGAAATGGGCATAATAAAATTGATTTGATCTCTTTTAAATATTTTTATAGCTTCAAATTGAGATCAACATGTCCTACTTCTCCACCTTTACAACTGGTCATGGTTATTGTAGTTGCTCGGTCAATTTGCATCATTGCTGGTGGAAAGAAACTATAGTAAGGTCGATATTGATTTAATCCACTACCGCCTTGCCGAATAATTGAATCTTCAAAGCTTGCCTTTAAACACATTTACAAAAATATATGAGCAATTGAAGATTAAAAAAATGATCAAACAAAAGTGTAAAATTAATGAAAATGGTGGAGATGGTATAATTTGTTGTTTAAGCTTACTTGATAATTAGCTAACGACTCGAGGTCAGGCAAATCACAATAGATTAAATTGGATGAAGGGTGCTTGAAATTTGAGTTTGAACACATTGAAGTAGTTGTGGGAGGGGCTAATGTGAGAAAATCTCCATCAAAGACCCCATTCTGTTTGATGCTCTTCTTGGAAATTGACTCCAAATTTGAGGTTGAACATGAAGGCCCTTTCCTGAAAATAATTTTTTTGATACATACGAGAAAGTACAAGGAGAAGTTGAGATTTGAATCTTAGATTTCTCGTTCAATATCTCCAAGAGAACAAAATTAAAATCAAACCTGAAATTCGGGGTGCCGGGTTCGAAATTGAATGTGCTACCATTGCTACTTGAAGCTGCTTCAACTTGACCATTGATGGAATGAACAATGGGAGCATATTTGCTGTGAATAGGGGGGCCTGGAGCATTGTCCAGAGAGAACGGGTATGATCTCTTCATGCCAACCATCTACAATTTATTGTAATCAAATTCACACACAAAAAAGCTTACTATTACATAATTTCATGGTCTAATTAAAAGAAAAAGATTGTTGCATTCCTAAGACTTCTAGGAAAGAAGAAAAAGAAATGAAACCTAATTCTTTATTGATCTCTTGATTAACTGGAGTAAATCTAGTTTTTTTTTTTAGTTGAATTGAGCAGTCAATTTCCCAATATAAAAAGTGTGTTGGCCTTTATAATTAAAAAACAAGAAGGAAAAAGGAAAATGGTGTAAAATTCATACCAGAAATCACATTAATTTTCCAAGGTAAACATGATAGTAAATGAAAAACAAATGGAAAGAGATATTTAAAACTAAAATTTCCCATTGGATCAATAATAAGCTATATACCTTCTCCTCTTCAGGCAATAAAGGTGTAAAATTTCCATAATAGCTTTGGTTTGAAGGGGGCTCCATCTGAAAATTCAGTACAGATGTTGAAGTTCTTGATGGCAAATTCACCTTCATAAAAAAAGTTCCATTAAGTCACCCTCATTCCTTTATCTATCAGCAACAACAGAAATGAAGTATTTTCCAAAAAATAAAAGACACCAATTATATCGATTACAACATATATAAATTTTCTCACCAATGAAGAAGAAGCATGTTGAAATGGTTGTGCCCTTTGCATCAAACTAGGCAAAGGCCAAATCGGTTCAGATTCATAAGGCAAACTTAAATTCGTTCTGAAAGCCAATCTTGGATCCAGCCCTGAACACTCCTTTTCAATGTTATACTCATAAGAACTCCAAAATTTATGACCATTATTAACACTGCCATTCCCTGAAGGAAGTACTGCTGAACCAGGAGGCCACCCAGGAGAACAACTGGTCAATGGAACAGTGTTTACAGTACTGACAATATCAATATTTTGAACAGGTAAAGGTGGCCTGAAGATTGAATTTGGTGGTGAAACATCAGGAGGAAATGGAATTGAAGAAGCAGAAGAAGATTGGAAACTTTGGATTGGCAAACAAAGATATGATGATTTATGATGAGTAGTTGGTGGTGAAACAACAGATGATGGAGAAGGCGAAATTGCAGCGGCTGCAACAGCTACAGCTGCATCTTTCTTTTGTTGTTCTTCTATTCTTATCTTCTCAAGCTGTGCTACACCAAGTCCTCTTTGGGGTACTTTTTTAGGCCTTTGCTTTTTGGAAGATCTACCATTAATATTGTTTCCAATTGCACCACCACTGCTAGTATTACTATTGCTACACCTTTGGGTTTGATCTTCTTGACCCATTGTTTTTACTACCTTCCATATATATGGCAAACACAAAAGTTTTCCCAAGAAAAAATTTCAAGAAAAACCCAAAGATATCAAGCTTTAGAGAAATACCCAAATCTTAAAAACTTATCAGAAACAAGATTTTAACAATTCCAAGCTATCCTGATTCTCATGCATGTTACTATTTATATAAACAAAGGAACAAAGCTTTTTTTTTTTTTTGAAAATGATGAAAAGAGATTTAGAAAGAGAGAGGAAATCTTTGAAATCAAGAAACAAGGAATTTGAAATCAAAATATTGAGGATAACAAGAGGAAAATCTAGAGAAAATATACAAGAAGAAGCAACAAAGTTCAGAAAAAGATACCCAAAATCTCGCAGATATTGGAAGTCAAGAGAACAAACCCATAAGGCCAGCCAAGTTTTAAGCTACAATATTGAAAAAAGAGTGGAAAGAGAAAGATCACTATATCTGAGAGGTTTCAGATTTTCTCTCAAAAGCCTTGTTTGTCTGAGAGACAGATCAGATCAAAAAAATTATATACTAAAAAGTTGCACAATATTCAAATTTTCTTTAATTTCAAAATTCAAAACCATGCAAATCTTTAGCTTACTATGAATATATTTTTTTCTCTCTCATTTCTCGCCCAAATCCTCGCTCCAACTCTTCCTTGTTTCATTCCTAGACCTTCTCTTTCTGCTTTATTTTTTTCTCTCTCTGAAATTATGTTTTCAAAGTTCTAAAAGAAGCTAAAGTTCCAATTTTACTTGGCAATGTCACCTTAGTTTTGTTTTATGTTCATTTTGGGTGTATCTCTTGCTGGCTTTGCCACTTTGGGACATATATATGGGACCCTCACTTTGTTTCTTAGCACATGCATGGAATTTGCAACCTATTTTGTGCCTTGCAAGTGCATTGGCCACTTGGGATTTTACTTCACTTTGAGAGTTTGGCTGTCAACATTTTAGTTGTATTCCCATTTCTCAATCAATAATGCATTTCTTAGTTGAATAAGGAATCCAACTTGTATTGCATTATATGGCTACTAGAGTTTGCCAAGAATGCCAAGCTAAAAAAATTTGTGAAATTCGTCTAGATTCCAACCTGATCCAAATTAATTTAACAAGAAAAATCAACAACAAAAATTAACTTAAATTCAAAATAAACTTAACTTGAATAATAAAAAAAATTAATTCAAAATTAAATTGTTTCAATTGTAAAAATCAATAATTCGAATTCAAAATTATCCGAATCTTATAATTTAAATCCAAAATGATTTAAATTTTTTCATTTAAAATAATTTGACTCAAAATGACACAATTCGAATTGTGTAATTATTGTATTAAATTGGAAATACAATTTAAATATGTACTAAATAAACATAAGAGAGGGAGAGATTGGATTTTTTCACATTCAATCTCCCTTTCCTATTAAGGATGTTGTTTACATATGGACTACAAAAGGTGGAGATGGAGTTGATTGATAAGTTTGGCTTGAGTTAGGCATAGATTTTCTCAGTTTGAATGATGGTTTATTTTGGATTAGGTTCTTGAGGTCCACCAATCAGCTAGAAAAATTGGTAAGAACAGAAAGAAAAAAAGCTTAGTCTAATATGAAAGAAGAACAATCATACTCACCCACTTCCATGATATTGAAAAGTTATTTTGAAAGAGTAAGAGGAATTTCAAATTTGAATGTAACCTTCTCCCTTTTCCCGTCTCCTTCTCTCCAAGCCTTTCTCCAGAAACTTCTATAGTTCTTTGTTTATTTTTTTTTCAATGTAATTGATTTCTGTAGCACCAATCAAAGTATTTTAACTTTTAAACAATTTGAAAAAACTATATTTCAAGTTATTAACTTAACGTGTCAAGCTGGATTGTAATTGAAGGAGATTATCATCTTTTATTACCAAAATTACCCCTCAAATTAAGTTTAAACAATTTCAATTTTGAATGCAAAAGAATTAAAAAAAAACAAATATTAAATGATATCATGGAATCATACCAAAGGAATTAGGAAGTGAAATGTTTTTTTTTTTTTTGGGAGGTCCTTAAAATATAGCTAAAGTTTGGAAGGAGCTTCTTTTATATATATATATATATATATATATATATATATATATATGAATATATAGGCTCCTAATCAAATTAAAATTATTGATTTTTTTATTTATATTTAAGACTATCAAATTGAATCTTAATCATTAAAATTAAAAATTCAATCAATAAAATCACCAACTTTTTTATTAATTGTTAAGCTCCTTAATTTTCAAATTTTAACTATCTAGAGTAATAACACATACATGAAATAATTTTTAAGAGGCCTAATTAATAAATTCAAATTGAATATATAGCCGAATAAAAGGCAAATTTGTTTTTGATGTCTAAACTAATAACGTATATATCAAGTAATCACTCTCACTCAAAATTGCTTTTACAAAATAACCCTTATTAAGGACTTCTATTAGAAATCACAATTGTTAAAATTTTTCTAATAAGGAAAACTTTACATTCAAGGAAGAGAAAGAAAGATTTGATAGTTCGTATATTTATATTATATAAAATATTAAAATTTGTATATTTATATCGTTTTTTATATAAAAATTACGTATAATAATTTTTTATCAACAGAAAAATATGAAATTAAATTTTTTGTTTTGTTAAATTTATATATAATTATTGTTAAAATTTTAAACCATATTACTTTTATATCTTTTTCATATTATGTTTGCATCGGATCATTATATTATGTTTTAAATTGTAAAATATAAAGAAAAGTAAAGAAAAGATGAAAAAAATTCACAAGTTAAGAGGTCAAGACGTAGATAGAAACCTGAAACCTTTTATTATTTATACCGAATATGCAAAATCCTATCTCTACCTTTCCATTTTGGACCCACCTTAGCCACAACAAACCCTCTTTGAATTTATTGTAAAGAAAGCAAAATTTTTGTCTTCAATAAACCTATCCCACTCTATCCTTAATTTCATGGATGACAACATCCTTCTTATCGTATAACATGCCAAGATTTTGTTAGATATGAAAAATATAAGGACCCCATACAGGGCATCTATCAATAAGATTCTCTTTCACCATATTTCATTTTAACTATGAGTTCTTGGATATTCATTATTATCTTTTTGATAGAAATTGACAAGTGTATGTGAGTTGAAGACATCAAAGTTTCAACAATAATTGAGGGTTTCTTGGCCCCTTGAGCTTTTAAGTGCATTAATTTATGAAGTATATGTTGATGCTGTAATTAACTAAACTATTGGAGCATTAAGGACAATATTGAAGTATTTAGGGGAATGTGAATCATTTTTCTTTGTAATTCTTCTTTTTGTTGTTTTAAAATGAAAGGAAGATAATTAAAAGTATTCATGAATTTGATCTGATCAAACTAAGCTCGATTGATTATTAAAAATCGTCACTCAAGACTCCGTTTATTTTTACTCGTCAAGTCCATTAGACTTCAATTTTTTAAAAACTATATTAAAATATTAATAATATTCAAATAAGCATTTTTTTGGGTAGTTATATATGGGTAAGATTAGGTTAAATTTAGGGAACAGCAATTGATTTAGTTTGTGAATTTTAAATACCTATTATATCACATACATACATATATAAATTGATTATTGTTAAAAATTTTAATTAAGATGAAATATTCACATATATTTTTTGTTGATATTTTCAACATATTTATTTTTGATATGATTTATAAAACTTTTGATAAGCTCCAATGTTGTTAGAAACAAATTTATTGGTCAGTCGGACAGGTTTAATCAATAATAGATAGTAAGGTTATTAGAATCGGGTAAAGGTTTGACTGGTCAATTATCAAATCAAACTGAATTAATTTGAACCAAATTGAAATTGAATCGGTTTTGAATAATTATATTATTATTAAATCTTTTAAAATTTTTTATTTAAGTTTTTAATTTTTTTATTAACATTAATAGGAAAGGTTTAGATGAAAATTTTTAAATGTAATTGGTGAAGTTCTCTACTAAAAATTATTAAATAAAAATTAAAATCTAAAATTAAAACAAATAAATTAAAAGGTCTTGCTATGTAAATTAAGTATATAAAATTTTTAAAAAATTTAATAAGATTTGATATATTTTTTAGATAAATATTTTTAATAAAAATTTTAACAAAATTTTTTCGATTGAATAAGTAACAATCAATTTGAATTATAAATAATATTTTTATATTTTTTATATATTATTAATCTTAATATTGAAATATATCATTTTATAAATTTGAATTTTATTAAATTTTATTAAAATTTTTATTAAACCAATTTTAAGAAAAAATTTTATAAACATTATCTAAAAAACTTCAGCTTTATCCAACATTAAGCCAAACACGAGTTTTTTGTTTAACAATATGATCATTGATAAGTTGGAAATTTGAAGTGATGATCAATATTTTTGCTTTTGTGATTAATGTGATTCTTTTTTTTTTTTGGAACAGTCAACACTTTGATTCCCTTATTCTTCACATAATCACATTCCTCCCATCTTCTAAGCAATCAATGTGTACCTAACAGTTATATGACAATTAACTATTACTCTTTGTTTTGCTTGTTCATCTTAAATATATGTGAGGAATCATCTGATCAGTCTGAATTTTTTTTTTTTATATTTGAAGTTATCTGGATTCAAACTTTAATCACCAAAAATAATAATTTAATATTTTACTAATAAATCATGCAATTGTTAGCTAATCTAAAATATTTTGTTTGTCAGGTTTAGTTCATCAGTTTCTAAACTATAGTTCTGCTACTTGATGATCATCTATGGGTTCAGGAAACTGGTTTAGATCAATCATTTGTATGAAAAAAAATCCAAGTCAAGCATATCCAAACAAATAAAGGCAGTATATTTAAACACTATACAAAAGCCTATATAACAGGAAACTGCTAATGCATTTTCAACAAGAACAAAATATCTGAAATGACTTTCTTTGGTTCTCCCCTTCCTTATTTTCTTTTGCTTCGCACATAGTTCACTCATAAAATGACGTGATGAAACAGTAACAATCCCTTTTCATGGTGATCCAGATGAAGCATTTGTAATTTCTTGAACTTCCTTTTTTTAATTATTCTTTAATTTGTAGTGTGAACATACTATCACTGTCAACATAATATTAAATATTTTTCAAGTCTCGCAGGCAATGCTGCAGCCTGTACTCCAGGGGCCGATCCAAGTGGTGTGATGGAATTGGAAAGCAAGAAAATTTTCCTTTGCACACCTCCAAAAACTTTCTCTTTACACTTCAAAAATTAGAAAAAAAAATGCATAAGGAAAATTTTCTTCTGGACATTTTTTTATTGATAAAATTGATAAATTCATCAACAATGTTTTATACATATTATAAGTGGACACAAAAAGAATCCTGAATCTGCCACTGCTATACTCTAATTTTTTTAAATGGAAGTCTTCATCTCTAGTTTGCTCTCAGACCCCATCAACACAGGTTCCTTCAGAAAATGAAAAATCAAATGGTGGTGAAGGTAATCATGATCATGCTCCTGAAGAGGAAAGGAGTCCAGCATCTACTGGTGGTTCACAAAGCACTCCTGGTATCCCTGGAATGGCAGCTGAAGAGGTCATGGCTGCCGCTCTGATTCACAAGGCTTTTCGGGCATACAGGGTATATTGATTTATCGCAATACCATTCATATCAACATCAAAAATGCATTGAGCTTGTATAATATGGGCCAAAAAAATAACTTGTATGATAATTTATGGAGACCTTTCTGTCCAGGTATATCCTACAATTAACTTGAAGCTGTTGCTTGAATTTTATGATCATGTTTGGACCAAAACTTGACATTTATATCTAATCCATATCGCCTGGTGGGTTACACCCTAAGAAGAACAGAATTGCTAATTTTGTCCCTTCTCTATATAAGAAAATGAGACTCATCCACCTTTGTTTCTTTGTAATTTCTAAGAAAAAAACAACCTAATATTTAGCCATAAAATGAAAAACTATGACTTCTTATAGTCTAGCTAGTCTATTGCTATATGGTTGTGACAGAGAAGATAAATAGCTTTTCAATTTCATCCTATTAAAACATATGGCTATTAAATTGTCTTGTCTGTCATCCATGATGAAATGATAGACCTTTTTTTTTTTGCCTAGAACAAGTTAATTGAAGGATGATCAAGTAGTTTTCCAGGCTTTCTACTTTGTGATTATTAAATATTGAGGTGGATTAATTTGCAGATAAATAAATGCAACTATAGATCATTCATAAAGTTGCAGATAGAACCGTTGGGTCCTTTATAGTAAAGGTAAGATTAGATCACTACAGCTTAATAATGATTATTTATTAAGGGAGCAAAACCCAAGAATCAATAATGTCAATTCCTTCGGTTCAGATTGAACAACCAATGCAAAGTGTTTGGTTTTTCATTAATGCAACTAACCATGAGGCCCATTTTTCATTTACATCTTCATTGCCATTTATTCGGATAGCATATACCAAAAGTTATGATGCAAATTGTTAAGCATATATATGTAAGAGGGAACTTGGATAAGAAAGATAACAATTCTCCTTAAGTTCTTCTGCTGCATGCCATTAAGAATTTTCAAGCCTACATGCTATTTATGTACAGTACACATGCATACGTATTGATCATTTGAGTAATACAGATTCCAGTATTGTTATTAATAGTCCATGTCATCTCTGCTGTTTAATGATTTGATTTTTCATTACATTTTTCCTGGCAAGAAAAGCAGTTCGCCGGCTGATCCCTGGACATGCAGTCAAAAAGCAAACATCAATCACACTAAGCTATTCACATTCCTGGTGCAATGTACAGTCTCAAATCAGAGCCCGAAGAGTACGTGTTGGTTACAGAAGGGAGGCTTAAGCAAAAGAAAATGGAAAATCAGATGAAAGTTGAACTATGAAGATCTTTGGACCATGGCAATCAAAGTTAGGAAAATGTAAAAACATTTCTATTTCTATCTTGGGAGGCACTATTGTCATGCCTAATTTCATTGGAGAAAGAAAAGAATGTCGAAGACATAGCTGTAACAAGTATTTTTCAACCAATGTTGGTGCGAAAGCTTTAGGTTATGGCATCTGCAAGTAGCTGTATGGAGCAAACTAGCTGCTATCTTAGGCTTTTTGCCGAAATGCCCGCATAGGAGTAGCTATAAAGTGTGAAGAAGATTACTTAAACTTGTAAATGTCTCCTAATAAATTGAGCCATTAACTAGCAAATTGCATTAATCTTTTTACATTAATGGAGAGTTAGGACCCGATGATCAGCCCCAGCGATTCAGGTTTGTAGGATAATAACAGCGTCTTTACTCACGAAAAATTTTATGGCATTCTGATTCTTACATATCAAGCCGTTTCAAATAGAGTAGAGTGACTCCAATGATGAGTGATTATACCGGCTTTATTAATTTTTTTTTTTTATTTTCCAAAGGAAATTACAGTCTAAAAATAAGAAAATAGATTGTAGATGTCGGGATTTAAACTTCAAATTTGAATATCACATTTTAAGAATAACTGCATTAAGTAAGTCATAGGTTCGGTTTTATTAGACCTGTTTCTTGATAAAGTTTTCTCATAAGTATCTGTTCTGTTTGCCTTTTAACTAGATATTTGCAATTCAGAAGATGAGGCTGCCTAAAACTGACCCTATCTATTGTTTGGCAAGCAAGAAAGGAAACGGGAAGCTGATAACAGTGACTAAATTAGCATTTCGGCTGTTTCATTTAACAGTAGATTGGTTTATATAGGTAGAATGGGATGGTGGCTATGAAAGTAGGGAGGAAATCCTTTGTGGAAGAGTTAATTACACTTTAGTATATGAATATTAAGAAAATTTATAAATTGATATTTAAAGAAATAAAATATATAATTTATATCCTAAACTTTTAAATAATGCATAATTTATATTATGAATTTTCAAATTATGTATCATATTAACTCAAACTCTAATCTTATTAACCATATGAGCTTCTATATATAACTTTTGACTAATATTATCAAATTAGGAATTCACCACATACTATCAATATTTTTTTTAATATATATTAAAAAAATATATTTTTACATGAATTGTAAAAATTATCTAAAATCAATAAATTATTTTTATCACGTGACATTCACATAAGAATTTTTACAAAATATTTTAACACTTTTATTTAACAAATAACATATGTATAATAAAATTATACTAGATAAATTAACAATATTAGAATATGAATTAAAATGATACATTATTTGAAATTTTGTCATACAAATTGTATATTTTATTTTTTAGGTATCAATTTATTTATTTTTTCAAAGCTCAAGTATCAAAAGTATAATTAAATTTTTTTTTTTTAAATTCAACAGAGAGAAGCAGCAGCAGTTAAAGGCGAATGAGCCATGGCTTATGCCTTCTCTCATCAGGTTACAAACTTTGAATTTCATGTTTGATACTTTGATGCTCTCATGTTTTGTTGGGAATTAAAATAAATTGTATACTGATTTGCAGTGGAGGGCAAAGGAGAGCCAATATCTTGGCCAAGCATCGTAATGTCTGGGCAAAGAAAACTGGGGTTGGAGCTGGATGGAGCGACAAATAGCTGCAAGTCAAGGGTTCTCAGCCCATCCACCCAAGGCAAACTCATGCCAGGCAGGCAAGCAAATCAGAGAGAGATGCTCCGCCAAATGGTAAAGTAGCTCCAAAACTGACAAAAAAATTGCCCCAACCGACGGCTGAAATCAAGATATCCAAGGAGCTTGCCGATGATGGATGAATGCTTAGCAATTCAATGGAGTGATTCAATATGATTTCTTCTGTGTGGATTTGCAATGCATTGTATACATACAATAACAGACAGGTTTTGTTGCCTCGGCAAATTTGAGGATAAAACACAAAAATTCCCCTTTTTTCTGCTTTTTTTTTAATCCAAAGGTGAAAAGCACAAACCCCAGAAATTTTGTTTTCTTCCATGACAACTCGTCAATGTAACTTCTTCCAGAAAGGTCCAAACCGAAAGATAAAGCCTTAAGAGCAGCAACCATAAAAACTAAAAAGCAGGCTATTTTTCTTTTCCAACTTTCATATTATTATAACATTTCTACAATCACACAATGCTCCAACTCATTTTTCCATTATGCACTAATTATCATACAATTATTCATTGTTACATTACATTATGCAATTACTACATGCCAACAAGAAGCTCTACAGCCCAACCACCCCTCCACCTCAAAATATTTATTGAAAAATCCCAACTTCAACTATCCACTATACATAATTTCTTTATTATATTATGTTATAAAATCAGGTGAGAAAAGGCAGAGTATTTATATTTCTTATGTTTTTATTGGTGTTAATAATCATTCATCTAAAATATTGTGCAGTGTTTAATGTTTATATAACCTGTGGAGTTGTACTCCTCAACCAACTATAAAGATGCACCAACAACCATAAAGCAAATTTCCATAGAAGCCAAAGTTGTTTTTTTCTTAAATGAGTTCATTTTTTCGCTATACTTGAAAAGATGACATCTAGGTCTATAGTTCAAACCCCAACATCTACAACTGCTTCTTCTATCCTCAAGCTGCAACCTCTTTACACAAAAAAAATAAAATAAAAAAAATAAATTTCCGGCTCTGGTCAAGAGATTTATATATATATATATATATATATATATTAGGCACCGAGATTTACAAGGCAGTGGCGGGACCATTTACAGATGAGCAAGTACCAAAATTTTGGTGGTATCTATCCTGACTGTGTATTCTACTATTCTTCCATAATTGAGTTTCTTGTATTCATCCCTTTCCCCTTTCATGGTTCCTCCTGCAGATGTACTCCACTTAGCCCCACTAAGTCTATCTGCTAAAATTTAGCTAACATGCTCATTGATTGCAGAAGGATGACCTTAGCTATCCTTTACAACCTGGTCTCGATGCTAAACCATGCTTCAGGACTTGTAATTTAGACCAACCCCATCTTTCATACTAAAGCATATGGTAGCTGAAGTAACATAAGTCCAATGGCTACGTAAATTCTGCTAATTTAGGCAATTGAGATTTCTAGGATGGCGATCAATTGATGCATTCCCATTTTAACTAATACAGTAAATCGGGTTCTCAATTTCTATCCTTGTTTAGCATTCTTTGTTACTATCAAGATCTTTCCATTCTAACTAGGTCAACTGCATACTGAGGCATCTAAAACAAAGCAATATGGAGCAAAATGACACTAAAAGAAAAGGATTATAACTTAAGTGGGGGGAAATTATCCATTCTTTTCAGCCCAGGGGAGACTGGACAGCTTTAATCAGCTACTTCTATTTCTATTCAACAAATCCTACTGTTCACAGAAAATGACTTCCTTTTCAATGCCCCCAAAAATCGAAGCATCGATAGAGATGTAAAAAGATTAGTTATTCTTTCAAATTCCTTTTGCAGGTTTAAGTTAGTTGTGGCACAACCTGTTCCATAAGAAAGCAATAAAGCAACAAAACAAAATCAAAAGCAGAACTTTCTTTTTCATCTACATGAGAAATTGACCATTTCTAAACAGAGGAAAAGACTCAGGATTGCTTCTCTAATTCCATATCAGATCAAAGGGATGTAAGATTGAGAAAGACTTTTGCCATATTAGTTGATATGGGATACCTTATTTCATGAGAATTTTCAAAAGAATGCCAGCCTCTGCTAACCCAGTCTGTCCTAATTGAGGAAAAATAAATTCTGAATTAGAACAAACTAGGTTTGCATCTCAATAGTAACTGTAGAAAACAGTAGCAACCAAACAAACATCACAGACAAAAGTTTAGTAAAACATGAAACACATGACAAGTTCAACAAAAAAGAGAAACCATAGTTGAGCTCTAAGAGCCCACTCAAATGCAGAATTAAAGCTACAACACAATCAAATGATAGAAACTAAACAAACCGGGGATCAAATAACCTGAAATCCACCCAGATTTCTTATTCCCACGGCATAGGCCATTGATTCAAACTAATCAAAATCTTCCCTCAAACTGGTCTTGAATCCATCATAACATCTCCTCGTCGACTTCACAGTCCACAATCAACTAATCCTGAAAGACCACTTAAACAAGTAGACATAAGGTAAAAATTGGACTGTTCATAAAGAACTAAATAAGGAAGAGGTACTAAAAGTAAAACCTGATGGAGGGTAAAGACTTTGGCTTTTCTCCAATTTACTCGATCAATGGTGAGAATCAGAGGAAGCAGAGGACAGCTTATTGGCAATACCGTCGTGCTCCTCTTCTTCGCCCTGAATTCGTGCTGGAACGCGAAATCCAGAGAATACACCAGACGTGGTGAATCCAATGCCAGATAAAGCAGCTTGATGATGGATGTTATGTGGGATTTGACGGTGATGTTGATGATGATGATGGTGTTGGTGTTCGTCGGTTGTGGAAATTGGCTGGTCTATCGAAGCACGAACCAAGGGCGTGTTACTGGACTGAAGGGGTCCCCTCTGAGAAAACAACTGGCTGTTTTGGCCAAAAGCCGTTGGCAGTGGCTGTGGTGATGGAGTGCCAAAGAGAAATCCTCCGACTCCACCGCTATCGCCACCAGCACCACCGCCAACGCCACTACCACTACCAGTATCAGCACCACCACCACTACTATTCCAGGCAACCAATCTCTGAAACCTTCCAATCTCCGGCGGATGTTGGTGGTGGTGCTCCCATCCAGAAGAAGACCCATCAAAACCGGTTAATGGGCTGGTTCCAGAGAATAAAACAGGTTCACTATGGTGTGCCTGAGCTGTAGCAGCTTGACGGTGGTGGTGCAAAAGAATTGGCTCCGGAAATGACTGAAGCGAAAGCCGCAGATCTTGACTTTGGCTGCTGGTCCTGGACAATAAATCTGGTGGATAATTCTGAAACTGTATAGAAGAAGACGGCGTCTCACTTGAAGCTCCCAATGGAAAAAAAGACTTAATTGTATCCGCTATCTCATCAGAAACTAAATAAGATGGAAGAAAACCCGAATTATTATTCGGATTATCTCCCATTTCTTGTTGCTGAAGACTTTGAACTTCGTTTCCCATTATTGTAGCGGTTCTTCTACGAGTACCAGACCCAACAGCAAGGTTTTCCACCAGGTCTCCACTGTGGTGGATGTGAAACTGATAGGCTTTATCATTGTCTGTTGCTGTTGTTGTGTTTTGGTCTTCTTGGTTATTTGGTTTTGAAGCTGAAGTAGTTGCAGTTAAAGTTTCTGGGTTCCAAGGAGGTAGTTCAGCGAGTTCGTCAATGGCAGATTTGGCTTTTTTGATAAGCCAATCCACAGCTTTGCTAGGACGGTCGTAGCCAAGGCGGTCCTGGACGTCGTAGAACTGAATAGCGGTGTGAGCTGAGAGACGAACACGCCGGTCTCGTGGACCTTTGGCAGTACAAACTTTGCTGTGACGGTCTTTTCTTCCAGTTGACCGAACAATGCGACCTCCTTGGACCTCAACGATCTCACCTTCAGTGTGCCTTATCCCCAATCTTGACGATGTTGCAGCTTGGTGGTGGCTATCTCCCATTTTTCTTGCATGTTCGGTTGATTTTGAACCAAAGGTTGAAGAAGAAAAGGATGGGAAATAAGACCTTTTCTTTGGTGGTTGTGGGCACTCTTGTTGCTGCTGTTGAAGTACTTGAGTTTCCAGACTTGTATACAAATGTTGGCTTTCTTGTTGTTGAGATTGGGTTTCTTGAAGATATTGATGATGGTGAGAAAGGAAACTTTCCTGTTGGTTTCTTTGTAGCTGCTCTTCTTCTCCTCCTCCTGCTACTGCTATATGACTTGAATTTAGAATTGGATGATGCTGATGATGTGGTTGTTGCTGATGATGATGACTCCTTTGAGGATCCAGACTCAGGTCCTTGTGCTTTTCCTGTTCCAGCTTTTAACGGAGGACACCTTTTTTTGTTAGTGGGTTATTGGTTCTTTACCTCTCTTTGCTTCCTAATTTCCTCTTGCTGTCTGTGCTTCTGCCACCACACTGAAACCTGATACCGTTGCCTCTCCCAAAAGGCCCTGCCATTCAATATTTCTAAATCCATCACCATAATAACACCACACCAAAAAGACCCCCCACTCTCCCCTAACAAAACTTAAACCAAGCCAGAAAAACACCCCCCCAGAAGGCCAAAAACCAGCTTCTATTCCCACGCTAACCCATCTCTTTCCTTTATCCTTCTCTCTCTCTGAACTCAGCTTTTGCCAATTGGGCCTCTTTATGTACTATACTATTCAGTAACCAAACTATTGAAATGGGTTAACACTTAACACTCACTTGGCCAGGACAACCTAACAACAACCAGAAACAATTAATTTTCTCAGCAAGGATTTTCTTGGGAAAAAATCCCAACTTGAATGTTTTTCATTACTGCTACTGAAGTGAAAGAAAGATTTTGTTAGAACAGTAAATACAGAGGGCTTAGCATAGTACAGGGATGAGGAACACTTTCTTGGCCTATAGGAACCCTTGAGGATGCCACTGGTAAGGGTGGCAGTGTTTGGTCAGATAAGAGATTAAAGATCTCTTTGGTCTCATCACTGCATCTGCTGCTGTTCTTGTACTCCCTTGCACTGGACAAAAAAAAATAAACTCTCCCCTCATTCAATCAAAGCCATGAACTCAACTGGACTCCCTCCTTTTCCACTTCTTCAACTTACCAGTATAAGCCTTATCCCATTTTTTTTCCTAATTATAGATTTGATCTCATGAGTTCAAATTTTCAATTTATCTTACAAATTGTTAATTTGATAAGTAGTAATAACCTTTTTAGATTTTTTATTTTCAACTTACTTCCTAGTTAGAAGTCAAGAAATGTTGGTTATAGTTGAAGGGATCCTCTGGATGCTTTGTTTTGATTAAATCAGACGGATGGATAGATCCTCTTTATATGCCACCATCACAACTTTTGACAGTGACCCATTCACCAGCTTTTTTTCTGCTTTCTTTTTCTTCTCTCTCTTTTCTCTTTATTGCTTCACTTAAAAGAAACAACATCATCTTTCCCACAAATTTACCTTCTCCCAAACACCCTTTTTTGGGATTGTTGGATTACTCAACGTGACATCCTCAAGAGGCAGCAGCCCATTTTACATTTTCTTGGTTTCACTGAGCAACATGAGCCAAAGGCAGCAATTGCCTTTCATTGTTTTGGAATGGAATGGTTGTCCTCCTATGTGCTAAGCTAAATTACTTAGCTACCCTTTTATCATTTTTAATTTTCATGGATTCTTTTTTTTTTTCAATGTCAATTTTATTTTCTTTTTCATCAATTAATTAATTTTGATTTTTACAAAATTGGAGATTAGACGTGATATTTAACCTTTAAATAAAATATGAAAGTGATCTAATTATTGTAAATTAATGCAAATATTTTGTAATATCCAGTTTTTTATTAGTAACACATAAATTTTTTTGGCTAAAATATTAGAAAAACTGAATTATTTTATTTTTTTAATAAATTTTTATATTTTTATTATATTCATATAAATCCTTATATTTTGATTTGAATTCAATAAGTCTTTTATTTTTAATGAAAGAATGATTTATATTAAGAATTTATTTAAATATAAATTAAAAGTTTAAAGATTTATTTGAATATAAATTAAAGACTAAAAACTTATTTGAGTGTAAATTAAAGATTAAGAGTTTATTTAAATGTAATAAAAATATAAAAATTTATCTAAATAAAATAATAAAATATAAGGCTTTTCTTGTTATTTTAGCCACTTTTGTTTCCTATATAATAAATTATTAATAAAACTACTCAAATTTTTTATTTAAACACATAAAAAATTTATTAAAAAAAAAAGAAAAAAGAAAGGGTATATCTATAAATTTAAGAACTTTTATGTGTAAAACGAGAAAGTTAGATGCAAATGATTAGTGTAAAATATTAAAAGGTTAAAAAAATATACTTTCTTTAGACATGATTTAATTCAATTCGAAAAAATTATCACATTTATTAACAATAAAATTTTTAAATTTTACAAACAAAGTTAATAAATCAGTGACACATATTACTTAAATATAATAAAAAAAATGAATATATAATAACTTTTTAATCCTTTTGTGAAATTAAAAAATTTCATTTTTAGTATATAAAAAAATCTTTAATTTAACAAATGCATAGAAATGAATTCTTCTCCTTGTGTTTTTCTTTTAAAGAAATTTCTACACCTTATAATACAAATTAAAGGTGCAGTGACTTTAAGCCCATCCACATTGCTTTAAACAACCTTTTTTCCAACTGGTGCACGTCTACCTTACAAGAGTCACAATCACATTCAAGATTCTCAATGTAGCATATTGGGAAGAAGACTCTTCTTCACACCTCATTTTCATAAGGTTTTAAGGCATGATAACACAGTTTCAATTTGCCTTATTCAATGAGTCATTGAAATTTGAAAACTCTATTTCTTTTTCCTTCCCATTATTCTTGGAGGAGGACAAATTTCTAATTAAAATATCCATCAAGAAACTTACATAATTGGCAAGAAGGGAAGTCCTCTTTATTAATCAATCAGGATTCGATTATTACGAGAAGCATTTCGAAAATAAAATTTTTAAATGCATTATGTTGAGGTGGGAGGATTGCGCTTTTAAAAACATTAAAAAAAATTAAATTCAAATAAAATCTAAAAATATCCCTAATCAATCATAAAAAATTAAGTAAATATGTATTGCACGATAATATTATAAGTCGTTAACATATTTATTCAAAACACGATATTAAAATTTTAAAAAGGAAAAAAGGAAATGATTGATTAGCACAAGAGAAACAAACAAACATAGAAAAAAAATCAACATCAAATTAAAAGAAAAAATGCATGACGTGAGATTTAAATTTGATACCTATTATTTTAAGCAACGATAGAAAGATCCATGAAGCAAAACTCAAACAGTTACTTTTATTTCCCCCCTTTTTTTTTTCTATTTGATTTGTCGATTTGAGATTTTTCAATTCTTTGTTGCACGGACCACAACATTCTCTTAGTTTGCACAAAGTGTTTAATTTCATAAGTTTCATTGTTGGGGTGAAGCAACCATTGTCTCTAAAGGGTGATGGAATTATTTTCTTTTATAATATATATGTTTCCTAAAGGGACTAAGATAAAGACTGATGATAATCTCTAGACAGTGATTACTGTGACTGATGATTTTGTTCTTAACAACAATATTAACTGTTACAACTTTTGATTATGTTGGAACTTAGGGGGGTTAGGTTTATATAATAATATTATTATTATAATCTTTTGATAATCAAAGATATTTTATTGTAGATTTGTTGAAAGTATATTATATTATTTATTTAATCCTCTCTTAATCAACTTTAGACAATGGCACATCTGTCGTGTGTGTATGAAGCCATAATTTAAATTAAACAAATATTAAATTAACAAGTCCCCATTAAGCATAAAGTCTTCTTTTAACGGCGAAAGGGACAAAAAAATTTTTAATAAGAATTTAATAATTATTTAAGTTTTTGATATTTTATTATAATCAATTAAATTTTGAATTTCTTATTTTTATTGATTGAACTGTTAAACATTTATCTTCATCATAATTGAGCTCTCGGTTAAATGAAAATAAATGTTGATGGATGCCAATTTTAGTCTAATAAAGATTTAATTAATGAAAATGGATGTTTGAGAGTTTAATTGATTACAATAAAATGATAGGAGTTTGGATGATTATTAAAGTTTTATTCATAAAGTTTTTGACCTTTAGGCTTTTTTAATGTTAATAATGAAATCAAGTGTACATTAAAATATATTTAGATTTAATTCACCATTATAATCAGCACAGAGATGAGCAAGATGAGCAAACTAAAAAAGAAAAGAAAAAGAGTTTAATTTAATTAATTAGATATATGTGGACAGCTGATTATAATGCAAAAAATATAATATATAAATACTTCCAAATAATTAAAACAATAAATTATTTAAGATAAAAAGCAATATTAAAATAAGTTTCCAGCGTAAATTCAAGCGATTTATTTACTTCTTTTAATAGGTCTACCGACATGGTTTTATTAATTGCTTTGACTTCAATTCAAAGTTTTAAATATATAATAAATTAATATTAATTTATTTGGTGTATTTGTTGGATTATTTTTCAGGAGATATGCTAAATGTTGTTTGATTATAATAAAAACACGAAATTTTATTTTAAAAAATGAATGAAAGGAGAAAAGATTTTTTAAAAAAAATTTTTTATTTAAATTTTAGATATGTTAAATGTTACCTCTAAAGATAATTATATGAATTAATTAAAATTAATTGAATTAAATTTTGAATTCACATTTGAAGCCATTTACTTTATAAAGTATTATACTTTGAATTTAGAACTTTTATTTGTAAATTCTCATTAATTTCCTAATGGGAAAATAACATTATAGTTTAAATAAAAAATTACGGTTAAACACAAATACATGAGTAGCATCACTAGTGAGCTCATTTAAAGAAATTGATCACTACTTTTTGCATTTAATTAGAATGTAAATATTCATGAAGAAAATGTCACTAGGGAGTACTTCTTTGAA